AAAACAAAAACCGCTAGGTACCAACAACTTTTATCAAAGTCAACATATTTTTTTACGTATAATTGAAAGGTGTAATAATAACTATAGCATTGTATTTAAAATAACGAAGTTGTGGTCTACTTCCGGTAGACCGGAAGGGGTGGCCATCTTGAAAATATTTTAGATCGAAAGATTAGAATGAACAACCCATGCTACCAAAATTTCAAACCACTATGAATAGTGGAACCTTAAAAAGTTCTAACGAACCAGTTACGTGAGACACCCTGTATATAAACAGAAGTTTGGTACACCTATGGGTAGCCCACTTAGCCCTATCTTGGCAACCATCGTGATGGATTATGTCCTGGATATCTGCATACCAGCTCTCCCATTTGAGTTGCCCTTCCTCTTTAAATATGTCGATGACATCATCTGTGCTTTGCCATCGGACTGCCAGCATGCCACTTTGACTACTTTCAACGGACATAACACCCATATACAGTTTACCCTGGAAAAAGAGAGGAATAGGTCTGTCCCCTTCCTGGATTCCTTGGTCGTACGTAATACTGATCAATCTATTACACTGGACTGGTATCGCAAACTGACTTATTCGGGGAGATTCATTAATTTCTTCTCCTGCCATCCCCTAAATATGAAAATCAACACTTTGAGGGGTATGAAGAACCGAGTCGTCCGCATTTGTGATGAGGCAGTGAGGTTGAAAAACCTAAAGTTATTGGTTGACATCTTTAACAACAATGGTTATCCTGCTCCGCTAGTAAAGAAGATCCTTTTTTCCTGTGACACACCTCAGGTCTCCCCTCGGGTGGCTCCTGTCTGTGATCTCCCGTCCTCTGATGTCTCTCTGACTCACCCGCCTGAAGTGGATGAACCACTTGTCAGACGTTTCGTTAAGCTACCGTTTATTCCTGGTTTGACCGATAATGTAGTGAAGGTTTTCAATGACCAAACCTCTAAGCGGCATTTTTACCAATTTGAAAGATCGACCCCCCGATGGTCTGAAATCTAACTTGATCTATAAGATTAACTATCAGGGTTGTTCCGGCTCCTACGTGGGTATGACCAGTCAATATCTTAAAAGGAGACTCGACCAACACCGTAGAGACTGCAGACTAAAAAAGTCGAATGCCACTTGTGGAACACCCTTGGAGGCCCTTTTGGTACATCATCTTACCACGGGACATACCTTTCATTTCGACAACTCCTCCATAGTATGTTGTGAACCCTCATACTATAAACGTCGTTTTCTTGAGATGTTCCACATCCTAAATGGGCCTAATTCTGTGAATTTTCGCACTGATGTGCAAAATGTTAGCGACATTTATTGCAATCTGGTCAAGTTACATGTTGCTCGTCCCCCGCCTCTCGACGATTCGTCCTTCGGTGAGGTTTGGTTTTGAATTTGTTTGATTTTCAAATTTCCCGCCTTGTGTTTGGGGAATTTGTCTTTTTGCTGTTTTTGTTGGGTTGGTATGGCTCTCGGTTTTAATTGTCATGAATGTCACCTGTTATTCTTGTTGTTTGTGGTTTTATTCTCGAATTGTTTGTTCCTGTGCCATCGTGCTGGATTTTTGGTTTTGCGGCGGTTTTTTGGGCCGTTTACTGTCTGGCCCCCTGTTTGACTTATGGGTTTTTATATTTTTGCGACTTACAACCTCTATCTGTAAGTTAGGTTAAGTTATTTTATTGTATAATTTGTTTGATTTGTTTCTTTTGATTTCAAATAAAATAGCGTTTCTCTGATGAAGAATTAAAAATAAAATTTTCGAAAGAAAAGGAGGTTTTTATTCACCCCACGGTTGATGATCCCAGTATTTGGCTCCGTATTATCAATAGAACTAACACTAGACCTAGAACTAGAATCATTCGGGTTTAGCTGTCTTGAGAGACGTGTGGCTAAATCCGAATGTTTCTACTTCTTGGTCTAGTGTTAGTTCTAATGACAGTGGTAGCGTTAGTTCTAGTTTTAATTGTTATTTAGCGTTAGATTGTGATATATTTTTATTCAACGAAAAGTAAAACTAACACTAAACCTAAAACCAGAAACATTCGGGTTTAGCCGTACGTTTCTTAAGACGACCGAAGACTCAGAGTTATCATAAGGACGTTATCCTTTTTCAAGCAAAACTTTTCCTTTGCAAATTTACCCAATGACTGTACTATTAAGCTATGTTGCATTTTATATGGGACAGTGCAATATATGAAATTCCCGGCATATGCAAGGAACAATAATATAGAAATAAGCGATTAGGAAAATCACTTACACGTGATTTTGTTACTCTTGTTTTTTTGTAATTTCAGCGTTACGTGTTTAGAAGCACACACAAATTAGTTCTCGTGCAGTTTCGTTCGAACCGAAACACAAAAAACCACTATCAATGATCTAAAATAGTCATTAACGGTCATAATTGCGGCGTCCACGTATCGGGAGTACACGTTTACGTCACGGTTTTTGAGGTACACAAAAAAGTAGAATGGAAAAAATACCGCTTCGGTTGTCGTTAATTACGGACCCGTTTATTTTCCAAAGTCCATTTTGTACGCGTTATTTCCGCATGTAGGATTTTAAAAATGCAACGACCGTAAACATTTTTTTACTAGAGAAAATAAAAAAGGAAAAAATTTGGAGGAGAATGATGAATCACCTAAACTTTCTAATTAATTAATTACTTATTTGGATTTATCATTAAATGATTATTGAAGAATAAATTTAACACTAATAAAGGGAATTTGATTCTGGTATAAAAAAAAATAGTAATTGAGTCTATAGAATTTACAATAGAATTGACCCATAAACTGGATTAGATGAACATGAAAGTTTTAGAAATCTTATTCTCGGAATATTAGGGAGATGTTGCTTTTTAATTGTAACAGAATGACTTTCTATTGGGAATGTTGGTTTAACAATTTAATAATAACAAAAAAATTGTTTCAAAAAACTATGGTATATGTATTTTATTACATATTCTCAAAGAGCTCCCAAAGAGTATAATGGAGGCAAGAGACATGCAGGAAAAGACCCTCATCAATAAAAACTTGGAGCATATTACCTTATAGAAGCCTACAGAATTCTACAGAGCATATACACACTGCAGCATTTGTTGCAGGACTGTCCGAATGGGAGGAGAGTGGAGAGGAGATAAGGAGATCAGAAGGAAGAGAGAAAGAAATTATGGACGAAAGCGATATGGATGATTGGAATTGATTGGCGGCAGAAGTTGTATTTGGTCATGACGGTAGTGCTAGTTGTTGGTAAGCGATGGCGGTGGGTGGCCTTAGGGGTGGTTGGGTGGAGAAGAAGAATGAGAAAATTACATGCCTAAAGGTTGGTTGAAGAAATTGTGTAGCAACCAAAGATGAAGTAAGAGAAGTTATAATATTTTAGTATACTTCCAATGTTTTCATCTATGAGTCAACCCAATAAACTCAACACGTTTCATCTTGTTCAATAAATGATACCAATAAGACATATAAGTTCCTTGTGTCAATGAAAGTCCTCAAACCCCATAATAAAGTGCCTTTCTTTGAAGAAGGAAAACTCTTTCTGCTGCTGATAGTGCTGCCCAGAATAGTATTTCGAAAGTAGCAATGCTATGAAAGTTGGTATAATAGATAAGTCGCGCTACAAACGTAGTGCTTATATTTCGTACTCTCCTCACAGTATAAATTGCTGCGTCAAACTTTTTGAAGATGTTCTCTACATGTGCTTGCCAGTTCAGTCTGTTGTCTAAATGTATTCCTAAAAATTTTAGATTGGCATATGTCCCAACATTGTTTTGAAAATGCATGTATTGAGTCTTTTCTTTGTTTAGTTTTAGGCCATTTGTCCCAAACCATTCTTTTGCAGCTACTAATGTTTGATGGGTTTTATTTCGCAGATCATCCAAGTTGTTCGCCATTGATATAAAAGTAATGTCAAAAAAGCAAAAATCGTTGAAATCTCGTTTTTATCAGTGTTTGCTATACAAAACATTTCTTTCGACATGTTTCCTTGATTATATTCTACGGAAGCCAAAAAGGAAGCAAACTGATCTGGCGTTACTTTTAATTCTTGTTTTTTAGTGTACTTTGTTTCTGAATTTGTTATTTCCCATGTTGCCTCTTACTTATTGTCTTCTGCAATTTGAATCATAGATGCATTATATATTTGTTTCTCTTTACGAATTGTGTTTTTAATTCTGTTTTATATTTTTTTATATATATGATTCTTTAAGAGTTCCTGCCATAATGCTTAATATTACCACGACATTTTGTAAGCTTTTTATTCTATCACTGACATTTAATACATGTTTTAATGATACTTTTACTTTACTTCTCTTTTCAGGGCAACATTTATTAATCGTATCCAATAGAAATGAATAGCATTCAAAGAATGGAATCCGAATAACTATATTTTTGATTTAAATTCATCGTTATTGAATAATTCAAACAATTTCATTGAAAAACTTTATAAATTTCAATTTCAAAGATTTCTTAATCATTATTTTCATTTGAACGGTATTAAACATAAATCAAATTAAATATCGTGATGAATCAAGGAAAACACTCATTAACAGATAAAAGGTTTACTTAAAAAAAAATTAAAAAGAAAGCTCATTGATTAGATAAAAAATACGTTCGTCTAAAAAAATTAAATAATGAAATCGAACCAAATATTGTCGATATTATTATTTTAATAAAAATCGACTATTGTAGTAATACTGCGTGATTCACGATGTTCCTATAAATTACGAGGTGTTATTACGGCTTCTTACAATTTATTCTGGTGGCTCTCGTTTTAGAAAGAAGAAAAGAGGCTCGCGGCCCTGAACATCATCATTTTTTTAACAGAAGGTTGCCGGCCAACCTCAGGCATGACCTTAAAAATCTTCAGCTAGAACGGTGAATGCCTCAGTTGCATCGCCACTGTTACATTCTTAGGTTATTGTACAGCAACGGCAACAGGTTTCTTAACCTTCCAACACAAAAACTTTTTAAATAAAAATGAATTCATCACTTACCTTTGTAATTATCATAAGCCGTTGGAACATATTTCGTTGGAAACGTATCGTTACTGTATGAAACTACGAGAGAAGTCTTTCCTACGGCCGTATCACCAAGAATAACGCATTTAACCCTTTCATTTTTTTCTTTAGGTGGTTTCGCTTTTCGCACGTGTATTTGATTCGCCTGTTTTAAAAGGGGTTTTGTGTAGTGAGTGTTTATTTCCGCTTGCGGGGTCATTTTCACGAAGACAACTAAAACACTGATTATTTTCTTTTTTCTTTCACCGCGCAATTTTAAATGTATATCGAGCGTACCAACCGACAGCGAATACCGAGAACAACTGGTTGTTGAAAGTACTTGAACTTGGAGTGCAACACGCGTTTAAAATTATTAGTAGTGGGGGCTATTTAAGTTTATCTATAGAAGTGACATCTATTAACGTCATTGTAAGCTTAATTATAGATTTCTGTTTACCTTTTTTGGGCAAATTTGATACTTTTTTTATTAAACTAATCATTATATAACAAATCCTTTTATATTAGAAGTAGTTAAAATTAATAACATTATATAGTTTGATAAAAGAATTTAAATTTAGTTAATTGTTGATGCGCCATCTATGGTTGTAATTATGAAATTAATAACAGAATTCTATTTTCTCTTTGTAAATAATAATTATAAAATGATAAGTTAATGATTAATCTTAATCGTACCAAAATAATAAACTGGGTTAACCCATTTACTAATGAACATTAAATGATTTCTAAATTTTCAGTAAATTTCTATTTATTTATTTTTAAAAATAAAATGGTAAATATTGTGACATCTACAGCTTAACAAATCTATCTTGGCCCAGAAATCTTGAGTATACATCGTATACAGTGGCTAACAAAAGTATTTGTATAATTCAAGAATTAAAAAGGCTTTAAAATCTCTTTAAACGTTATATTCGGATCCACCTAATCTACTCCATTTTAGAATTTTATGTAGAAATTCGACCTTGAGTTAGGTTAATTAACATTTAAACTCGTTCGAATTTCCCTAATTGTTACGTTAACATTCAGATCCACGCGAGTAGGTAGATGGAAAATAAAGACATTTCAGTTATTGATTCTTTTTGTATCAATTAACACACAATCTATTAACACAGAGTCTATTGACACACAGTCTATCTAACGACAGGTAGTCAGTCGAAAATATAGGTTGTAATCTCACCTAGTTTAGTGAAAATAACTTGCTGCCTTGAGAGACGTGCGGCTAAATCCGAATGTTTTTAGTTCGCGGTCTAAAGCCGTGTGTCCACTACCAAGTTTTCTTGCAGAAGTTGCTTCCAGAAGTGACTTCCAGAAGTTTTTGTCGTGTAAACACGTATTAGAAGTCGACTTCCAGAAGTCACGACTTGCAGAAGTTACTTGCAGCAATTATGTGGAAACACGTGTTTGTTGCTTGCTGGAAGTAACTTGAACGACTTGTTGTGAACTACAAGTGTTTTGAAGACTTGCAGAAGAAGTCGGGTATACGTGAGTAAACGGTTTGTGGTATTCTCTTCTGTTTTCAGTTTTGTTTTGTGTTTTTTTTTTTTGAGTTCTTTTCAAAATTTATAAAAATGGACAAAAATAAATTCGTTTGGAGTAGTGAAAAAACACATTTGGTAATTGAAAAACAAGAAAGTTATCCTGAATTATGGGACACGTTTTCAAAAGACTATAAGAATAAAATTAAAAAACAAAATGCTTTAAAGGCAATAGCCAATGATATAGACGCACCCGAAGAAGAGGTTAAAAGGAAATTGCACAACCTCCGAACGCAGTTTGGTCAAGAAGTAAACAAAGAAAAGAAAAAAAAAATGGCCAAAGTGCTGATGATGTATATGTTAGCAAGTGGGAGTTTTATAATGACATGAAATACATGACGTCATCTCATGTACCCAAAGAAACAGGATAATTTGGTAAGAATAAGAAAATACACATATATACTCGTTTTAATTTTTATTTCATTATATATTCCATTATATTACATATTCACTTGTACATACTTATTATATATGCCTATATTGCCACTCCACTTCTCCTTCTGGTGAAATAAAGTATTCAGCAAATTCGTTACGAACATTTTTCGGTTCTTGTGCTTGACTGCGTGAATTATGTGGTTCAAGTGGTAACATGTTTCTTTCTGGTATCCCTTCTGTACGGCGCTCTCCTTGATTATCGGATACAGGAGAATTAAATGTCATAGACGACGCATATTGAGAATTGCGACTTAACAGACAGTTATGCAGAGCGCAAAAGGCCTTAACAATTTTTCTTGTTTTTTTTTCTTACCTGTTGCCAAAAATCGAAGAGTAACTAAAAGCCGGTCTTTGGGAGGTATAGCCAATCTCATTTTAGCATCCTGCTTTTGAATACTTGTTTGAATTAAAGATAAAATGTATTCAAAATCATCATTAGACATTCTCAGGAAATTTTTCAGCTGCATGGAGTCTTCAATTTCTCACCCAAACACTTCTTTTTGTTTTTTTTTTAATTTGTTTCTTTTTAATTAAATATGCTGCGATGGCAGCTGCCAATCTTATTTTGCCACAAGACATTTTTATACTGTCATTCGTAAAAAAAGCAAACTACTGCAAGCTGTACTCACATTGTGTGGAAACACGTCTGCAATTTCTTGCAGCAAGTTCGTCGTGATAACTTCTACAAACTACTTCTGGAAGCAGACTTCCGCAAGTTTCGGTTTGAGTGGAAACACTTCAGCAAATACTTGCAGAAGTTCTTCCGCAAGTGACTTGCTAGTGGACACACGGCTTAATGTTTGTTGTAATATTGCACTAGCACTAGTGATACTAACACAACACCTAGAACTAGTATCATTCGGGTATAGTCGTCTTGAGCGACATGGGGCTAAATGAGCTAAATCCGAATGTTTCTAGTTTTTGGTCTAGTGTTAGTTCTAGTTTTGCACTAGAACTAGAATCATTCGGGTTTAGCCGTCTTGAGAGACGTGCGGCTAAACTAGAATAGTTTTAGTGCAATAAAAATATACAACATAGTGATATCGAGCAACATCATGTTTGAACTCATTTTAATGTTTTTTTTTTAATAAAGAATACATCATAAGAAAACACCATGAAGTTGTCCATTTGTCTATTATATGATAACTAACTTCAGATTTAAAATATCAACCTCAATTTTGACATATTTGTAATCTTCATTAAAAAATCTTTTAAAATGAGTACAAACACGACATTTATCTTCAATATTAATGAAGTTATGATCAANGACTTCCGCAAGTTTCGGTTTGAGTGGAAACACTTCAGCAAATACTTGCAGAAGTTCTTCCGCAAGTGACTTGCTAGTGGACACACGGCTTAATGTTAGTTGTAATATTGCATTAGCACTAGTGATACTAACACAACACCTAGAACTAGTATCATTCGGGTATAGCCGTCTTGAGCGACATGGGGCTAAATGAGCTAAATCCGAATGTTTCTAGTTTTTGGTCTAGTGTTAGTTCTAGTTTTGCACTAGAACTAACACAAGACCTAGAACTAGAATCATTCGGGTTTAGCCGTCTTGAGAGACGTGCGGCTAAACTAGAATAGTTTTAGTGCAATAAAATATACAACATAGTGATATCGAGCAACATCATGCTTGAACTCATTTTAATGTTTTTTTTAATAAAGAATACATCATAAGAAAACACCATGAAGTTGTCTATTTGTCTATGATATGATAACTAACTTCAGATTTAAAATATCAACCTCAATTTTGACATATTTGTAATCTTCATTAAAAAATCTTTTAAAATGAGTACAAACACGACATATTTATCTTCAATATTAATGAAGTTATTATCAAGTTTCGGTTACAAATGTCAACGTCAATTTTGACATACAAATATTTTTTTTTGATTTAATCCACTTACCTTGCTTATAATTTCATCCATTTACCCATTTTGAATTAAATACAGCCTTTTAAACCAATTAAATAAAACGTTTTCCTTAAAAGAACTTAAATTCAATTTCAATTTTGACAAGCACCTGCAATATTTGGATCTTAATCACCATGGTAACTGAGTCAAGTTGAATAACCTAAAAATAATAAAATTTTATTCCGACTTTTTTATCAATTCTAACCTAATTTTTAATAATTTTAAAACAATTCGTTACGATTATTCGCATTCATAACAAATTCGTTAATTGTAGTTAATTTAAATCGATTCTAATTAAGAGAAATAAATTAAAAATATCTTTTTTTGATTTAATCCACTTACCTTGTTTATAATACCCTAATAAACCAATTTTGAGTTAAATACAGCCTTTTAAATCAATTAAATAAAACGTTTTCCTTAAAAGAACTTAAATTCAATTTCAATTTTGACAAGCACCTGCAATATTTGGATCTTAATCACCATGGTAACCGAGTCAAGTTGGATAACCTAAAAATAATAAAATTTTATTCCGACTTTTTTATCAATTCTAACCTAATTTTTAATAATTTTAAAACAATTCGTTACGATTATTCGCATTCATAACAAATTCGTTAATTGCAGTTAATTTAAATCGATTCTAATTAAGAGAAATAAATTAAAAATATCTTTTTTTGATTTAATCCACTTACCTTGTTTATAATACCCTAATAAACCAATTTTGAGTTAAATACAGCCTTTTAAACCAATTAAATAAAACGTTTTCCTTAAAAGAACTTAAATTCAATTTCAATTTTGACAAGCACCTCCAATATTTGGATCTTAATCACCATGGTAACTGAGTCAAGTTGGATAACCTAAAAATAACAAAATTTTAACAGTTAATATTTCTCTTTACATTTTAATATTTTTGTGTATTGCTTCTTAAGTGAAATACACTGTATAAATAAAAACATAGAAATGTTAATTCTTCCAATGACATCACAGCAAGGCCTTTGCGCGGGGATACGTTCATATATAAAGGGGGTCTAGTCATAGGGTCTAGTGTTAGTTCTAGACACGAAAGCAATGAAATTGGGTTCATTCCTGAGCTATGTGCACGTTGATAAAGTACAAGCGTTGAAATGTAATAAGTTTTTATTACGTTAAATTGAAATTAATTTTATAAAATTTTGAATAAATCAATAATAACCAACTTCATATGTATTCATATCAACTCATCTCATAACTAATTTCACGCATGCTCTTTTAAGTCAAGTTTTAGTCCCTAGATATTTTTTCATACATGTTACCAGGAAACTATAAATAGTTAAAAATATATCTACTTATTTTAATTAACAAACATAAAATGAAGTGTTATTTTAACTGAAAGAATTAATTTTTAAAAGCAATCAGTTAAAATCCTATTCATAACCTTCAAAACGAAAACAAAGAGAATTAAATTTTGCAGTGAATATCATAAGAAAATAACGCTCACAATGAATTATATTGCGTTTTATATCACAAGAGGCATCTAATTTAACCGTGAGTGGACGATTTTTCTTTAAAAAAAACGTAGGAAAAAAAATCTAACCTCACTTTTCTTTTCAGATAATGAAGTGGAAAACTAAATTGGTTTTAAATAGAGATAATATGATGTATAAATTAGGCGTTCTTTCTTATAAACGTAAATTTTGCACCTTATTAATATTTGGTTGTTTAGGATTTACAACCTACACCATAGATTTTACCGGTTATATAAAAGAATGGAACGAAAAAATTTCACATTTCCGATCGCCACGTCAAATCCAAGCAGATAAAAAAACTTTTAACAATTTCGAAGACAATAAATACGCCATGGCACAATCAGCTGAACGTCTTTTAGGAATTCCTTTCGTAAACATAGACACTTCAAACCCATATATACCCAAGCAACGAATAGTACATTTAGATTTAAAAGGGGCACCCCCAACGCTTGGGTTTTTAAAGAAATTTTTTTTAATGATTAGAAACATGGGCGCAACTGGGATTTTATTGGAATATGAGGATATGTTTCCCTATTATGGTGTTTTAAAACCGATTAGAGCTAGAAATGCTTATACTTCCAAGGACATTGGGAGTATTTTAAATTATGCTGAAGAATCTAATTTAATGGTAATTCCTTTAATTCAAACTTTTGGACATGTTGAATTTGCTTTAAAACATAAGGAATTTGAAAAATTAAGGGAAGTTCCTGCAAGTCCACAAGCTTTATGTCCTAACAGAAATGGTACTTTAGAGTTTGTTATGGAAATTGTAAAACAGGTACATTTAATATAAAAATAGATTACATATTATTATAAAATTCATTATTAATATTATTAAAGAATTATAATCGAAATCCATTCTACTACTTGTTAATTTTGAAATAGGTAATAAATAATTTAAGGTTTGAATCTGTACTTTTATAACATTCTTAAATTTTAACTTGTTAATGATAAACAATTCGTCCTTAAATTTATTTATTTGTAATTTAGTAATTAATAATATGACCTTCAATTTCGATTTGTGATCTCTTTAACAAGAATAAGAAATAGTCTCTGAAGATGGCCAAAGGTCGAAACTAGTTAGACTTAAATTAAATAAAAACCAGTTCAAAAAAGTAAAGATTCAAACTTTAAACTGTTTACCTACTTCAAAATTAATATTATTGTTGGAAAATCGACGATTTTTTTTTTAATCAATGTGAGATGACCCAAAAGACGTTACAAATGAAACGAAAGTGCAGAAAAGTGTGGAATATACCCAAAAATTACATTAAAGATTCGATGTGACGTCACATTTTGTGACGCAAGGCTAAACCCGAATGTTTCTATACTCTGTTTTTAAACCAGGAGGAGTAAACGCGAAAGTCAGATTTACACTAGGAAAAATCACCAGAAAATATCACTAGATATTTTGGCGGTAAATTTAAATTAATAATTATTATTATTTATTTATTTACTTATTATTGTATTTATTTTCGTTTGTTATCGTCAACACTAAACATACAAATTAACATTGAAGTTATGAGTGTATTTATTTCAAAATATAATAAAGAAGGGTTTAAGAACACAAAATTTACAATAATGACACGAAACTGTCGAATTGTCAATAACCTAACCTTCAAATTCAAA